ATGTATACAGAGACATGTATACAGAGACATGTATACAGAGTCATGTATACGTACTGGTTGAGGACGTTGGCCACCAGTCTCCCGGACGCCGCTCCACAGAGCAGACAGGGCACAAAGAGTCCACTGGGGACAGAGACGCCGTACGTCCAACAGGAGAGGAGCAGGTAGAGGACCAGGAAGAGAGAGAGGGAGAGGGGGGAGAAGAGGCCTGGGGGGGAGGGAGGGAGATGAATCATGAATAACATCTAGATTGACCAGAAAGAGACTTAAAGTAAGAAACAGACCAAACAGACCTGAGAGAGACCAGAGAGAGACCAGCGAAAGACCAGAGAGAGAGACCAGAGAGAGACCAGAGAGAGAGACCAGAGAGACCAGCGAAAGACCAGAGAGAGACCAGCGAGAGACTAGAGAGACCAGAGAGAGACCAGAGAGAGACCAGAGAGAGAGACCAGAGAGACCAGCGAAAGACCAGAGAGAGACCAGCGAGAGACTAGAGAGAGAGACCAGAGAGACCAGCGAAAGACCAGAGAGAGACCAGCGAGAGACCAGAGAGAGACCAGAGAGAGACCAGAGAGAGACCAGCGAGAGACCAGCGAGAGACCAGAGAGACCAGCGAAAGACCAGAGAGAGACCAGCGAGAGACCAGAGAGAGACCAGAGAGAGACCAGCGAAAGACCAGAGAGAGACCAGCGAGAGACCAGAGAGACCAGCGAAAGACCAGAGAGAGACCAGCGAGAGACCAGAGAGACCAGAGAGACCAGAGAGAGACCAGAGAGCCCAGATAGAGGCAGGAGAGAGACCAGAGAGCCCAGAGAGACCAGAGAGAGAGCTCAGAGAGAGGCAAGAGAGAAACCAGAGAGCCCAGAGAAAGAACAGAGAGAGAGAGACCAGAGAGAGAGACCAGAGAGAGACCAGAGAGAGAGACCAGACAGACCAGAGACACCAGAGACAGACCAGAGACAGACCAGAGACAGACCAGAGACAGACCAGAGACAGACCAGAGACAGACCAGAGAGACACCTTATAATGAACTACAAGTTTCTCATCCATGCAGCTTTTGTTGTGTCTAAACTACACCTAGTTTCAGTCGGACAAAAAGTTTGGGTCGCAAGGCGGGTTGGGTGCCCAGTCGTACCGTCCTGGTGGAAGAGCTGGTGGATGGCCTTCTCCTGGGGGTTGAACAGCAGTGTGGCCATGTCGTTGTACGTGTTGTTGGGACAGAAGAAGTGACGCACAGAGGAGGAGCCGTCTCCGCCCTGACACACAAGAGACAGACACTCACTCACACAGCTCTACAGCGCCCCCTGTGGCCAGTGTCAGATCTCTGAACAACTCATATTGATCCAAAACGCTGTACAGAGAGAGGCAAGTCCCCACTATGGTCCCTATACTCTGGTCACTCGCTCTGGTCTCTCTCTCTGGTCTCTCTCTCTGGTCTCTCTCTCTGGTCTCTCTCTCTCTGGTCTCTCTCTCTCTGGTCTCTCTCTCTCTGGTCTCTCTCTCTGGTCACTCTCTCTGGTCACTCTCTCTGGTCACTCTCTCTGGTCACTCTCTCTGGTCACTCGCTCTGGTCACTCGCTCTGGTCACTCTCTCTGGTCACTCGCTCTGGTCACTCGCTCTGGTCACTCGCTCTGGTCTCTCTCTCTGGTCTCTCTCTGGTCTCTCTCTGGTCTCTCTCTCTGGTCTCTCTCTCTGGTCTCTCTCTCTGGTCACTCTCTCTGGTCACTCGCTCTGGTCACTCGCTCTGGTCACTCTCTCTGGTCTCTCTCTGGTCTCTCTCTCTCTGGTCTCTATCTCTGGTCACTCTCTCTGGTCTCTCTCTCTGGTCTCTCTCTCTGGTCTCTCTCTCTGGTCTCTCTCTCTGGTCTCTCTCTCTGGTCTCTCTCTCTGGTCTCTCTCTCTGGTCTCTCTCTCTGGTCTCTCTCTCTGGTCTCTCTCTCTGGTCTCTCCCTCTGGTCTCTCCCTCTGGTCTCTCCCTCTGGTCTCTCCCTCTGGTCTCTCCCTCTGGTCTCTCCCTCTGGTCTCTCTCTCTGGTCTCTCTCTCTGGTCTCTCTCTCTGGTCTCTCTCTCTGGTCTCTCTCTCTGGTCTCTCCCTCTGGTCTCTCCCTCAGGTCTCTCTCTGGTCTCTCCCTCTGGTCTCTCCCTCTGGTCTCTCCCTCTGGTCTCTCCCTCTGGTCTCTCCCTCTGGTCTCTCTCTCTGGTCTCTCTCTCTGGTCTCTCTCTCTGGTCTCTCTCTCTGGTCTCTCTCTCTGGTCTCTCTCTCTGGTCTCTCCCTCTGGTCTCTCCCTCAGGTCTCTCTCTGGTCTCTCCCTCTGGTCTCTCCCTCTGGTCTCTCCCTCTGGTCTCTCCCTCTGGTCTCTCCCTCTGGTCTGACTCACGGTGGTGTTGTGATGAGGCAGCTGCAGACATTCTCCCACGAAATAAGACGAAGCAAAGATCAGAAGTGTGGTCACCAGAGACACCAGCAAGCTCTCTAGGACCCTGAGGAGATAGACACACAGAGAGAGAGTTGTACACACAGAGAGAGAGTGTGTGTGTGTGTGTGTGTGTGTGTGTGTGTGTGTGTGTGTGTGTCTCCCACCTGACCAGTCGTGCCTTGTTGTGGATGCGCTTCAGTCGATACTTGGCCAAACACTTGTTCATGCAGTTAAATAGCGCCCCCATCAGGCCGCCTACCACCCCCATGAGCACGAAGAAGGCCAGGTCCACTGCTGTCCACAGGTGACACCTCTTATCTCCATCTGCACACTGTGAGACCAGAGAGAGACCAGAGAGAGACCAGTGAGACCAGAGAGACCAGAGAGAGACCAGTGAGAGACCAGTGAGACCAGAGAGACCAGAGAGAGGCCAGAGAGAGACCAGAGAGAGAGACCAGAGAGAGACCAGAGAGAGACCAGTGAGACCAGAGAGACCAGAGAGAGACCAGTGAGACCAGAGAGAGACCAGAGAGAGACCAGAGAGAGACCAGAGAGAGACCAGAGAGAGACCAGAGAGAGACCAGAGAGAGACCAGAGAGACCAGAGAGAGACCAGAGAGAGACCAGAGAGAGACCAGAGAGACCAGAGAGAGGCCAGAGAGAGACCAGAGAGAGAGACCAGAGAGAGGACCAGTGAGACCAGAGAGACCAGAGAAAGACCAGTGAGAGACCAGAGAGAGACCAGAGAGAGACCAGAGAGAGACCAGTGAGACCAGAGAGACCAGAGAGAGACCAGTGAGACCAGAGAGAGACCAGAGAGAGACCAGAGAGAGACCAGAGAGAGACCAGAGAGAGACCAGAGAGAGACCAGTGAGACCAGAGAGACCAGAGAGAGACCAGAGAGAGACCAGAGAGAGAGACCAGAGAGAGACCAGAGAGAGACCAGTGAGACCAGAGAGACCAGTGAGACCAGAGAGACCAGAGAAAGACCAGTGAGAGACCAGAGAGAGACCAGAGAGAGACCAGAGAGAGACCAGAGAGAGACCAGGGAGAGACCAGAGAGAGACCAGAGAAAGACCAGTGAGAGACCAGAGAGAGACCAGAGAGAGACCAGAGAGAGACCAGAGAGAGACCAGAGAGAGACCAGAGAGAGACCAGAGAGAGACCAGAGAGAGACCAGAGAGAGACCAGTGAGACCAGAGAAAGACCAGTGAGAGACCAGAGAAAGACCAGAGAGAGACCAGAGAGAGACCAGAGAGAGACCAGAGAGAGACCAGAGAGAGACCAGAGAGAGACCAGAGAGAGACCAGTGAGACCAGAGAGACCAGAGAAAGACCAGAGAGAGACCCAGAGAGAGACCAGAGAGAGACCAGAGAGAGACCAGAGAGAGACCAGAGAGAGACCAGAGAGAGACCAGAGAGAGACCAGAGAGAGACCAGAGAGAGACCAGAGAGAGACCAGGGAGAGACCAGAGAGAGACCAGAGAGAGACCAGAGAGAGACCAGAGAGAGACCAGCGAGAGACCAGCGAGAGACCAGTCCTCTTTACCTTGAACTCCCCAAAGTTGAGCAGACCTGGGAGCTGGAACGAGCCCCACTTGTTGAAGTAAAGACCAGAGCGGAAGAAGTTGAGAGTGAAAGTGGCCGACATGGAGCAGAAGAGCTGCAGACAAGCACAAGAGTACCATGAGGAGAGTACCATGAGAGTACCATGAGGAGACTAGCATGAGAGTACCATGAGGAGAGTACCATGAGAGTACCATGAAGGGACTAACATGAGAGTACCATGAGGAGACTAACATGAGAGAACCATGAGGAGACTAACATGAGAGTACCATGAGGAGACTAACATGAGAGTACCATGAGGAGACTAACATGAGGAGACTAGCATGAGAGTACCATGAGGAGACTAGCATGAGAGTACCATGAGGGGACTAACATGAGAGTACCATGAGGAGACTAGCATGAGAGTACCATGAGGAGACTAGCATGAGAGTACCATGAGGAGACTAGCATGAGAGTACCATGAGGAGACTAGCACGAGAGTACCATGAGGAGACTAACATGAGAGTACCATGAGGAGACTAGCACGAGAGTAGCATGAGACTAGTTTTTTAACAGGGTCTCACTTTCTAGGGCTATCTTTCCCCACGAACAAATATGGGACTAGAAAGAAACCAGAAGGGATCAGAGAGAGAAGAGAGACCAGAAAGAGACCCGAGAGAGACAGAGAGAGACCAGAGTTTAGGGTCTCTCGCTGGTCTCTGTCTGATTGGAGTAAATTATTGTGAAATCTTCGCATAGGATATACACAGTGTGTGTTGTGTGTGTGTCGTGTGTGTTGTGTGTGTGTCGTGTATGTTGTGTGTGTGTCGTACCACTTTCCAGGTGAGTGCCTGGTTCCAGAAGGAGGAGCCCTCTTCCAGACTGAAGAGAGTGCCCCCTATAGGAGCCCCGAAGGCTGCAGCCACACCAGCAGCTGCTCCGGCCGACACAAAGTCACGCTTGTCCCTGAACACACACATTTATCATAGACGTGTTGCTATGACGGTTGCTAAGGCGAGCTGGGGTTTCCAAATGAAGGCCTCTGATTGGTCCATCCGTCCTCCAGATTGATTCTCTCTCTCTCTCTCTCTCTCTAAGTGTGAGTGCTTTTCCATAAAAAATGGTACCTCCAAGTTTCTCCTCAGCGTGGGAGGGTTGTCAGACCACGTCATTTACGCGTAACTAGTAACATTGGTCTGATGCGTCGCGAGTTCAATACATATCTTATTTATATAAAATACATGTATTTTGTAAATCTAAGTATCAACTTGAAAAAGGAGTGGGAAGTTAAAAAGTAATATATGATAAAAATCATTTGCCTAAAAATGTATTTTGTCCTTGTGTTTTGATCACAAACAAAACCTTTCTGTATTTAGCAAATGTCTCCGTCCTTGTTCATAAATGTACCACGGTTATAAGGATTTACTGACAAATATAATATATGTAACGCTCTGGTGTCTAAGTCTCCCTCATCTTTCTCGCTCTGGTCTCTCTAAATCCAGAAAGTTGAGCGTGACACAAACAGTGCAATAACATTATCCAAATACAGGCTGTGGTCTGCGTGAGACCTGCAGGGGGCACTGACCTGTCACTGCGGAAGTACGGGAAGTCCATGTGGATCCATTTGAACGTGATGCTCTGAAACTGAGATGAGAGGTCAGGCCAGTCCAGGGTCCAGTCCAGGGTCCAGTCCAGGGTCTAGTCTAGGGTCCGGTCCAGGGTCCAGTCCAGGGTCCAGTCTGTGCTGTGTTCAAACCAGTGGGGGAGGGTCCCAGCTCAAAAGTGGCCAAAATGACGTGCGCTGACATGCTGCAATACCACCCCGGGCCTGTGGGGGTGGACCCAGAAGTAGAATTAGCCAATGCTAACATATAGCTTTAGCAGACCTCTGGAAAACGTCTTTACAGGATGGACCAAAAGTTGGCTCTTGGTCCAAAGCTCCGTTCCACATGTGTGTCAATGCTGAGTGTTCTGGACCAGGCTAGTTTAGTCGCTGTGGACTTTAGAAGTCTCTCGTTCAAATGAATGGAGTTGCGCCGGCTGACTCATGCGCAGATGCGTTTTTTCACAATTTTCTTGTGGGCGGGACCACTCGCGGCCATTTTGGATAGCTCCAGTAGAGCACAATTTTTGGCCAATTAGTTAGAACGGCGGAGATAGGCGTGACTCTGTCCGTTAATATATACAGTCTATGATTCAAACCTGTGGAAGACCGGCTCCCACGATGGCCCCAGAGTGGATCATAGGACCCTCTTTCCCCACGAACAAACCTGAGACCAGAGAGAGACCAGTGAGAGACCAGAGAGAGACCAGAGAGAGACCAGTGAGAGACCAGTGAGAGACCAGTGAGAGACCAGTGAGAGAACAGTGAGAGAACAGTGAGAGACCAGTGAGAGACCAGAGAGAGACCAGTGAGAGACCAGTGAGAGACCAGAGAGAGACCAGTGAGAGACCAGTGAGAGACCAGAGAGAGACCAGAGAGAGACCAGAAAGACCAGAAGGAATCAAAGAGGGACAGATAAAGACCAGAGACCAGAGAGAGACCAGTGAGAGACCAGTGAGAGACCAGAGAAAGACCAGAGAGAGACCAGTGAGAGACCAGAAGGAATCAAAGAGGGACAGATAAAGACCAGAGAGACCAGAGAGAGGGACCAGAGACATAGTTCCTGGTGTTTGATAGTATAGACCTCTGGTTCTCACCTCCGGCCACACTCAGTATGACTCCCAGAACCTTACAGACCAGCGTCCGCAGCCTCACGATGCCCGGGATCTTCACACCGTTCAGGTAACTCTTGATCTCCGGGATCCCAGACCCAGCAGCTACAGGCTGAAACCAGAGGGGACCAGGTGAGGTTAAAGATCAGGACCAGGGGTGTGGACCCAGGACCAGGTGTGTGGACCTACTTAGGACCAGGTGCGTGGACCCGGGACCAGTCTGCTTTTATTATGTCTACATTACACCTGTATGGTATAATCCCGGGGTTTTAATCACAGCTGGACAATGCAAAACCAGAGAAAGAGAGACCAGAGAGAGAAACCAGAGAGAGAGACCAGAGAGAGAGACCAGGAGAGAGACCAGAGAGAGAGACCAGAGAGAGAGACCAGGAAGAGAGACCAGAGAGAGAGACCAGGAGAGAGACCAGAGAGAGAGACCAGAGAGAGAGACCAGAGAGAGAGACCAGGAGCGAGACCAGGAGCGAGACCAGGAGAGAGACCAGAGAGAGAGACCAGGAGAGAGACCAGGAGAGAGACCAGAGAGAGACCAGGAGAGAGACCAGGAGAGAGACCAGGAGAGAGACCAGGGAGAGAGACCAGAGAGAGAGACCAGAGAGAGAGACCAGAGAGAGAGACCAGGAGAGAGACCAGGAGCGAGACCAGGAGAGAGACCAGGAGAGAGACCAGAGAGAGAGACCAGGAGAGAGACCAGGAGCGAGACCAGGAGAGAGACCAGGAGAGAGAGACCAGAGAGAGAGAGACCAGAGATAGAGACCAGAGAGAGAAACCAGAGAGAGAGAGGAGAGAGACCAGATAGAGACCAGGAGAGAGACCAGAGAGAGAGACCAGGAGAGAGACCAGAGAGAGAGACCAGAGAGAGAGACCAGAGAGAGAGACCAGGAGAGAGACCAGGAGAGAGACCAGGAGAGAGACCAGAGAGAGAGACCAGAGAGAGAGACCAGAGAGAGAGACCAGAGAGAGAGACCAGGAAGAGAGACCAGAGAGAGAGACCAGAGAGAGACCAGAGAGAGAGACCAGAGAGAGAGACCAGAGAGAGAGACCAGAGAGAGAGACCAGAGAGAGAGACCAGAGAGAGAGACCAGAGAGAGAGACCAGAGAGAGAGACCAGGAAGAGAGACCAGAGAGAGAGACCAGAGAGAGAGACCAGAGAGAGACCAGAGAGAGAGACCAGAGAGAGAGACCAGAGAGAGAGACCAGGAGCGAGACCAGGAGCGAGACCAGGGAGAGAGACCAGGAGAGAGACCAGGAGAGAGACCAGAGAGAGACCAGGAGAGAGACCAGGAGAGAGACCAGGAGAGAGAGACCAGAGAGAGAGAGACCAGAGAGAGAGACCAGAGAGAGAGACCAGAGAGAGAGACCAGAGAGAGAGACCAGAGAGAGAGACCAGAGAGAGAGACCAGGAGAGAGACCAGGAGCGAGACCAGGAGAGAGACCAGAGAGAGAGACCAGGAGAGAGACCAGGAGCGAGACCAGGAGAGAGACCAGGAGAGAGAGACCAGAGAGAGAGAGACCAGAGAGAGAGACCAGAGAGAGAGACCAGAGAGAGAAACCAGAGAGAGAGACCAGAGAGAGAGACCAGGAGAGAGACCAGAGAGAGAGACCAGAGAGAGAGACCAGAGAGAGAAACCAGAGAGAGAGACCAGAGAGAGAGACCAGAGAGAGAGACCAGAGAGAGAGACCAGGAGAGAGACCAGAGAGAGAGACCAGAGAGAGAGACCAGAGAGAGAGACCAGGAGAGAGACCAGGAGAGAGACCAGGAGAGAGACCAGGAGAGAGACCAGAGAGAGAGACCAGAGAGAGACCAGAGAGAGAGACCAGAGAGAGAGACCAGAGAGAGAGACCAGGAGAGAGACCAGGAGAGAGTCCAGAGAGAGAGACCAGAGAGAGAGACCAGAGAGAGAGACCAGAGAGAGAGACCAGAGAGAGAGACCAGAGAGAGAGACCAGAGAGAGAGAGACCAGGAGAGAGACCAGGAGAGAGACCAGAGAGAGAGACCAGAGAGAGAGACCAGGAGAGAGACCAGGAGAGAGACCAGGAGAGAGACCAGACAGAGAGACCAGAGAGAGAGACCAGAGAGAGAGACCAGAGAGAGAGACCAGAGAGAGACCAGGAGAGAGACCAGGAGAGAGACCAGGAGAGAGACCAGAGAGAGAGACCAGGAGAGAGACCAGAGAGAGAGACCAGGAGAGAGACCAGGAGAGAGACCAGGAGAGAGTCCAGAGAGAGAGACCAGAGAGAGAGACCATTGTGTAGTGAGTTTGAGAAAGAAACCTCACCTGCATCAGCACCAGAGCTGAGGCCAGGAACACAAAGCTGAGGTTAAAGGCCACGAGCTGCAAACCAGAGAGAAGGAGGCAGGAGGCGTCTGAGCAGCTCTGCAGGTCTGAGAGGAGGTCAGGAAAACACACACAGACACAGACACACACACACACAGAGACACACAGACACACACAGAGAGACATACACACAGAGACACACACAGAGAGACACACACACACAGACACACACACAGAGACAGACACACAGAGACACACACACACAAAGAGACATACAGAGACACACACACACACAGACACACACACACAGAGAGACATACACAGAGACTCACAGAGAGACACACACAGAGAGACACACATACACACACACAGAGACATACACAGAGACACACACACACAGACACACACACACAGAGAGACATACACAGAGACACACACAGAGAGACACACACACAGAGAGACACACACACACACACAGAGAGACACACACACACAGAGACACACACACAGAGACATACACAGAGACACACACAGAGAGACACACACAGAGACACACACACAGAGAGACACACAGAGAGAGAGACACACACAGAAGCACCCACACACACACACACACACACACACACACACAGAGGACAGAGACTAACCAGAGAGAGCCCAAGGCTAAAACTATGGTGATGTCGCATGTTGGTGATGTCACATGTTGATGATGTCACATGTCAGTGATGTCACACGGTGGTGATGTCACATGTTGGTGATGTCACATGTCAGTGATGTCACACGGTGGTGATGTCACATGCTGGTGATGTCACATGTCAGTGATGTCACACGGTGGTGATGTCACATGTTGGTGATGTCACATGTCAGTGATGTCACACGGTGGTGATGTCACACACTCTCGGTGTGAAAGGATACAGGCTCCGACTACGTCCAGCTTGAATTTGGTAAAAATGTGGACGAAGAAATCCACAAAGACGCCGACCTGGACCAATCACAGCGCTCAGCCTCAGGACCATGTGACATTATTACAATACCATTAATGTTGTTCTCACCAGCCCCACGGTCACTCCGATGGTAAACACCAGGACCCACCGCACCGCCTCCAACCCACGCACTTTCTGCACCACAGAGAACAAGGAGATAAAGCTCAGGTCTGTAACTTTAGTCTCATCAATAACACATGTTTAAAGCTCAGGTCTGTAACTTTAGTCTCATCAATAACACATGTTTAAAGCTCAGGTCTGTAACTTTAGTCTCATCAATAACACATGTTTAAAGCTCAGGTCTGTAACTTTAGTCTCATCAATAACACATGTTTAAAGCTCAGGTCTGTAACTTTAGTCTCATCAATAACACATGTTTAAAGCTCAGGTCTGTAACTTTAGTCTCATCAATAACACATGTTTAAAGCTCAGGTCTGTAACTTTAGTCTCATCAATAACACATGTTTAAAGCTCAGGTCTGTAACTTTAGTCTCATCAATAACACATGTTTAAAGCTCAGGTCTGTAACTTTAGTCTCATCAATAACACATGTTTAAAGCTCAGGTCTGTAACTTTAGTCTCATCAATAACACATGTTTAAAGCTCAGGTCTGTAACTTTAGTCTCAGCAATAACATGTTTAAAGCTCAGGTCTGTAACTTTAGTCTCATCAATAACACATGTTTAAAGCTCAGGTCTGTAACTTTAGTCTCATCAATAACACATGTTTAAAGCTCAGGTCTGTAACTTTAGTCTCAGCAATAACATGTTTAAAGCTCAGGTCTGTAACTTTAGTCTCATCAATAACACATGTTTAAAGCTCAGGTCTGTAACTTTAGTCTCAGCAATAACATGTTTAAAGCTCAGGTCTGTAACTTTAGTCTCATCAATAACACATGTTTAAAGCTCAGGTCTGTAACTTTAGTCTCATCAATAACACATGTTTAAAGCTCAGGTCTGTAACTTTAGTCTCATCAATAACACATGTTTAAAGCTCAGGTCTGTAACTTTAGCCTCATCAATAGCACATGTTTAAAGCTCAGGTCTGTAACTTTAGTCTCATCAGTAACACATGTTTAAAGCTCAGGTCTGTAACTTTAGTCTCATCAATAACACATGTTTAAAGCTCAGGTCTGTAACTTTAGTCTCATCAATAACACATGTTTAAAGCTCAGGTCTGTAACTTTAGTCTCATCAATAACACATGTTTAAAGCTCAAGTCTGTAACTTTAGTCTCAATAACACATGTTTAAAGCTCAGGTCTGTAACTTTAGTCTCATCAATAACACATGTTTAAAGCTCAGGTCTGTAACTTTAGTCTCAGCAATAACATGTTTAAAGCTCAGGTCTGTAACTTTAGTCTCATCAATAACACATGTTTAAAGCTCAGGTCTGTAACTTTAGTCTCATCAATAACACATGTTTAAAGCTCAGGTCTGTAACTTTCTTTCTTACCTCTGGAGTGATTCCCTCCAGGAGCTCCACGTACGGCTCGTTGATGCAGCGGTCATAGTCCAGACTCTGAGGAAACAGGTCCACACGTCAGACCTCTGCACTCCCCAGGTCTGGCTTTAGGTCTGGACCTGGATCTGGGTCTGGCGTCAGGTCTGGGTCTGGGTCTAGGTCAGGCTTCAGGTCTGGGTCTGGGGTCTCACCTCATAGTCTTTCCTGGGCAGAATCTCCTCCTCAGTCTGGAACTCCCCGAGAATGGTCTGCGACACAGGTACAGGAAAATGTCACGATTCTATAATAATCATGATACGGCGAGTTTTCAAATTGATTCAGCGATATATTGCAATTAATGATTGACTCAGCACATATTTAAATTATTAAAATACAGACACAGAGGGCAGACATCATGGAGGATAATAAACCTCAGCTTAATATCACAATAAACACCAGAGTTAGACTGTAGCAGCTGCTCTCTGATCTCTGAGCTTATGGTAATAGATCCAAGGCTTAAAGTTTATTCAAAACACTGCAGCTCCAGTCCTGGCTAGAACCAAGAGGTACCATCACATTAGTCCTGACTAGAACCAGGAGGTACCATCACATTAGTTCTGGCTAGAACCAGGAGGTACCATCACATTAGTCCTGGCTAGAACCAAGAGGTACCATCACATTAGTCCTGACTAGAACCAGGAGGTACCATCACATTAGTCCTGACTAGAACCAGGCGGTACCATCACATTAGTCCTGACTAGAACCAGGAGGTACCATCACATTAGTCCTGACTAGAACCAGGAGGTACCATCACATTAGTCCTGACTAGAACCAGGAGGTACCATCACATTAGTCCTGACTAGAACCAGGCGGTACCATCACATTAGTCCTGACTAGAACCAGGAGGTACCATCACATTAGTCCTGACTAGAACCAGGAGGTACCATCACATTAGTCCTGACTAGAACCAGGAGGTACCATCACATTAGTCCTGACTAGAACCAGGAGGTACCATCACATTAGTCCTGACTAGAACCAGGAGGTACCATCACATTAGTCCTGACTAGAACCAGGAGGTACCATCACATTAGTCCTGACTAGAACCAGGAGGTACCATCACATTAGTCCTGACTAGAACCAGGAGGTACCATCACATTAGTCCTGACTAGAACCAGGAGGTACCATCACATTAGTCCTGGCTAGAACCAGGAGGTACCATCACATTAGTCCTGACTAGAACCAGGAGGTACCATCACATTAGTCCTGACTAGAACCAGGAGGTACCATCACATTAGTCCTGACTAGAACCAGGAGGTACCATCACATTAGTCCTGGCTAGAACCAGGAGGTACCATCACATTAGTCCTGACTAGAACCAGGAGGTACCATCACATTAGTCCTGACTAGAACCAGGAGGTACCATCACATTAGTCCTGGTTAGAACCAGGAGGTACCATCACATTAGTCCTGACTAGAACCAGGAGGTACCATCACATTAGTCCTGGCTAGAACCAGGAGGTACCATCACATTAGTCCTGGCTAGAACCAGGAGGTACCATCACATTAGTCCTGACTAGAACCAGGAGGTACCATCACATTAGTCCTGGCTAGAACCAGGAGGTACCATCACATTAGTCCTGACTAGAACCAGGAGGTACCATCACATTAGTCCTGGCTAGAACCAGGAGGTACCATCACATTAGTCCTGACTAGAACCAGGAGGTACCATCACATTAGTCCTGGCTAGAACCAGGAGGTACCATCACATTAGTCCTGACTAGAACCAGGAGGTACCATCACATTAGTCCTGACTAGAACCAGGAGGTACCATCACATTAGTCCTGGCTAGAACCAGGAGGTACCATCACATTAGTTCTGGCTAGAACCAGGAGGTACCATCACATTAGTCCTGACTAGAACCAGGAGGTACCATCACATTAGTCCTGACTAGAACCAGGAGGTACCATCACATTAGTCCTGGCTAGAACCAGGAGGTACCATCACATTAGTCCTGGCTAGAACCAGGAGGTACCATCACATTAGTTCTGGCTAGAACCAGGAGGTACCATCACATTAGTCCTGACTAGAACCAGGAGGTACCATCACATTAGTCCTGACTAGAACCAGGAGGTACCATCACATTAGTCCTGACTAGAACCAGGAGGTACCATCACATTAGTCCTGACTAGAACCAGGAGGTACCATCACATTAGTCCTGACTAGAACCAGGAGGTACCATCACATTAGTCCTGGCTAGAACCAGGAGGTACCATCACATTAGTCCTGACTAGAACCAGGAGGTACCATCACATTAGTCCTGACTAGAACCAGGAGGTACCATCACATTAGTCCTGACTAGAACCAGGAGGTACCATCACATTAGTCCTGGCTAGAACCAGGAGGTACCATCACATTAGTCCTGACTAGAACCAGGAGGTACCATCACATTAGTCCTGACTAGAACCAGGAGGTACCATCACATTAGTCCTGGTTAGAACCAGGAGGTACCATCACATTAGTCCTGACTAGAACCAGGAGGTACCATCACATTAGTCCTGGCTAGAACCAGGAGGTACCATCACATTAGTCCTGGCTAGAACCAGGAGGTACCATCACATTAGTCCTGGCTAGAACCAGGAGGTACCATCACATTAGTCCTGACTAGAACCAGGAGGTACCATCACATTAGTCCTGGCTAGAACCAGGAGGTACCATCACATTAGTCCTGACTAGAACCAGGAGGTACCATCACATTAGTCCTGGCTAGAACCAGGAGGTACCATCACATTAGTCCTGACTAGAACCAGGAGGTACCATCACATTAGTCCTGGCTAGAACCAGGAGGTACCATCACATTAGTCCTGACTAGAACCAGGAGGTACCATCACATTAGTCCTGACTAGAACCAGGAGGTACCATCACATTAGTCCTGGCTAGAACCAGGAGGTACCATCACATTAGTTCTGGCTAGAACCAGGAGGTACCATCACATTAGTCCTGACTAGAACCAGGAGGTACCATCACATTAGTCCTGACTAGAACCAGGAGGTACCATCACATTAGTCCTGGCTAGAACCAGGAGGTACCATCACATTAGTCCTGGCTAGAACCAGGAGGTACCATCACATTAGTTCTGGCTAGAACCACCAGGAGTACCATCACATTAGTCCTGACTAGAACCAGGAGGTACCATCACATTAGTCCTGACTAGAACCAGGAGGTACCATCACATTAGTTCTGGCTAGAACCAGGAGGTACCATCACATTAGTCCTGGCTAGAACCAGGAGGTACCATCACATTAGTCCTGGCTAGAACCAGGAGGTACCATCACATTAGTCCTGACTAGAACCAGGAGGTACCATCACATTAGTCCTGACTAGAACCAGGAGGTACCATCACATTAGTCCTGACTAGAACCAGGCGGTACCATCACATTAGTCCTGACTAGAACCAGGAGGTACCATCACATTAGTCCTGACTAGAACCAGGAGGTACCATCACATTAGTCCTGACTAGAACCAGGAGGTACCATCACATTAGTCCTGACTAGAACCAGGAGGTACCATCACATTAGTCCTGACTAGAACCAGGAGGTACCATCACATTAGTCCTGGCTAGAACCAGGAGGTACCATCACATTAGTCCTGACTAGAACCAGGAGGTACCATCACATTAGTCCTGGCTAGAACCAGGAGGTACCATCACATTAGTCCTGACTAGAACCAGGAGGTACCATCACATTAGTCCTGACTAGAACCAGGAGGTACCATCACATTAGTCCTGACTAGAACCAGGAGGTACCATCACATTAGTCCTGACTAGAACCAGGAGGTACCATCACATTAGTCCTGACTAGAACCAGGAGGTACCATCACATTAGTCCTGGCTAGAACCAGGAGGTACCATCACATTAGTCCTGGTCTAAGGTCTCTGCTTCCTGTGAACAGACTTTAAAGCAGCTCTGTTAGTGCACAAGTCAATGAACCAACTAGGAGTCTGAGGAGCACAGGGACTGGCCTCCTGCTGATGCCCAGAGTAGGAACAATCTTCCAAAAAATGTGAGACAGGCCTAAATGGTGAAAAACAGTTCTGTTTCGCTGCAATTACTGAACAAGTGCATTTTCACTGTTGTTAAAGCACTGTGGTTATTTATTATTTGAGTGTCCTTTTGAATTAACTTTGCCATATAAATAAACACACACACACACACACAGAGGGAGAGAGATGCTCAGCCCCAGGGTGTGGACCACTGCAGCCGCTCTCCGGAGCTCCTGTCCCGGGCTCAGCGCTCACACTACCCGCCCACAGGCATCTCTAACCCGGGTACGCACCAGCTCCTCCGGGGTCTGGGTCTCCGCTTCTGCGCAGCAGCATTTACAGCAGAAACAGCGGCCACAACAACCCGCCATGTTGGGCCACGGTGCCGCCTTCACGGACCCACCGGAAACTACATGCACACACACACACACACACGCACACACGAACACACGCACACACGCACAAACAAACACACACGACAGATTATTTACGTGTTAAATTACTCTATTTGACTTTACAAATGACACACTTATAACTGCAATATTAAATCAATGCAGTGATAAAATAATAGTAATAAATACGTGCCCGTTTATACTGTAGTATCATGTTAGTACTATACTCGGTAAATTTACAACAGTGTTTGAACGTATCGGAGTCACGTGACGATAAGGGCTGATAAAACACGAGAGCGCGCGAGTACTGTTACCTTGGAAACACTGGCGGCCATCTTGCGTTTACGTTGTGATATGAATAAACACTTTGCCAAACATAGGCTATCAGACTGTACAACGACTACTGCTGCTGTCAGACTGTACAACGACTACTGCTGCTGTCAGACTGTACAACGACTACTACTGCTGTCAGACTGTACAACGGCTACTGCTGCTGTCAGACTGTACAACGACAACTGCTGCTGTCAGACTGTACAACGGCTACTGCTGCTGTCAGACTGTACAACGACTACTGCTGCTGTCAGACTGTACAACAACTACTGCTGCTGTCAGACTGTACAACGACAACTGCTGCTGTCAGACTGTACAACGACAACTGCTGCTGTCAGACTGTACAACAACTACTGCTGCTGTCAGACTGTACAACGACAACTGCTGCTGTCAGGCTGTACAATGACAACTGCTGCTGTCAGACTGTACAACGACAACTGCTGCTGTCAGACTGTACAACGACAACTGCTGCTGTCAGACTGTACAACGACTACTGCTGCTGTCAGACTGTACAACGACTACTGCTGCTGTCAGACTGTACAACAACTACTGCTGCTGTCAGACTGTACAACGACAACTGCTGCTGTCAGACTGTACAACGACTACTGCTGCTGTCAGACTGTACAACGAGAACTGCTGCTGTCAGACTGTACAATGACAACTGCTGCTGTCAGACTGTACAACGACAACTGCTGCTGTCAGACTGTACAACGACTACTGCTGCTGTCAGACTGTACAATGACAACTGCTGCTGTCAGACTGTACAACGACAACTGCTGCTGTCAGACTGTACAACGACTACTGCTGCTGTCAGACTGTACAACGACAACTGCTGCTGTCAGACTGTACAATGACAACTGCTGTTGTCAGACTGTACAACGACAACTGCTGCTGTCAGACTGTACAACGACTACTGCTGCTGTCAGGCTGTACAACGACTACTGCTGCTGTCAGACTGTACAACGACAACTGCTGCTGTCAGACTGTACAACGACAACTGCTGCTGTCAGACTGTACAACGACTACTGCTGCTGTCAGGCTGTACAACGACAACTGCTGCTGTCAGACTGTACAACGACTACTGCTGCTGTCAGGCTGTACAACGACTACTGCTGCTGTCAGACTGTACAACGACTACTGCTGCTGTCAGACTGTACAACGACAACTGCTGCTGTCAGACTGTACAATGACAACTGCTGCTGTCAGACTGTACAACGACAACTGCTGCTGTCAGACTGTACAACGACAACTGCTGCTGTCAGACTGTACAACGACAACTGCTGCTGTCAGACTGTACAACGACAACTGCTGCTGTCAGACTGTACAACGACTACTGCTGCTATCAGACTGTACAACGACAACTGCTGCTGTCAGACTGTACAATGACAACTGCTGCTGTCAGACTGTACAACGACTACTGCTGCAGCGCTGCTGTCAGGCTGTACAACGACTACTGCTGCTGTCAGACTGTACAACGGCTACTGCTGCTGTCAGACTGTACAACGACAACTGCTGCTGTCAGACTGTACAACAACTACTGCTGCTGTCAGACTGTACAACGACAACTGCTGCTGTCAGACTGTACAACGACTACTGCTGCTGTCAGACTGTACAACGACTACTGCTGCTGTCAGACTGTACAATGGGGTTCAAGTCTCTCAGGGTCCTGTCCTCAGTGAGGGAAGGATGGGACTGTTGTGGTGAAGAGGGAGCAGCGTCTGCAGTCAGAGCTCTAGTCCCCTCCCTCACCTCTGGTCTCGAGCTTTGAGTAATGACAGAAAGGACTGGATCGCGGTTACAAGCGACGCATGAGTTTCCTCCAGAGTGAAGCTGCCTTACAATTAGAGGAGCTCAGTCACACAGGAGGAGCTCGGGGTAGAGCCGCTGCTCCTCCAAGTGGAAAGGAGGCAGTTGAGGTGGCTTATCTGTTTGCAATGCCTCCTGGACCGGAGACCAGGGGAAGACCATAGAAGGGAAGACCCAGGACCATAATAGATCCATGCCCAGGACACAGAGGAACTGGCCTGGGAGTGTGTGTGAGGAGAGAAGTCTGTTCTCAGACTGCTGCCGCGGACACCCAGCAATGGATAAAACGGAAGATAATAGAAAATCGAGATAAAATCACATTAGTAATAGTGCAAATAAATTGTATTCAATTTCTCCCTAGATCTTTAATGAATTTGACCCGATTTTACCAGATGACGATGACCTCTGTCTGCAGTACAGCGCCCTCCTCTGGCCGCTGGTGGTATTGCCCGTGAGAATCCCGCGTGGGTGTGGGTGTGGGTGTCCTCCTGTCCCCCTCACTCTCATGAAGCAGAGCACAAAGCAGCACAAAGGACAGGACGAGGTGAGCCATTTAAACCCACTATAATGACATTTCCTGTTAGCTAGCTAGCTCACAGTTTGTTGTTGTTCGCGTCATAATTTCCCCAAAATAGTTTTACTCCCGCATTAAAAAATAAAATAAAACCCTAATTATAGCCAAAATGAACTCCCTCATATCTTACTATATTTTTTACAGATTGTCTAAAGGATATTGTAATTAATAAGCCTGAGCCAGTGGATTCACGAAGCAAAGAGTGGGAAAAATGTGTTGGGGAAAAAGTCGTCCGCGTGTGAACCATGATGTAAACCCAAGTCGCGCTTACTCAATCTTGGTATTTCGCCCTGAATAAAGAGAACTAATCAAACGACTGTATTTTAATTTGTGATTAAAAGTCGTGATCAGGTTATAGTTCGTGTTGGGGTTCGTTACGACGATTATGTAATGTGTACTGTCATGAATAAACAACAAAACTTCGCTGGAGCAAAGCAGCAGAAGACGGATCAAAGAATGACTCAAACCCATGACAATAGTAAAATAGGTGCATGCATAAAGACCCACGCTTTCTCACACATAACATGCATAAACAAACGTGTGTGCACATGTAATATTGCACTTGGATAAAGCGTTAATATAATAGATCCATGGGATAAACGGGGGCGAAAGGCCAAGTTTTGAAAGTGAACAAAAGTGGTCAGTGGGTCAGACTTTAAATAGACTTTTGTGGCCAGGTTACTTCATACGTGCTCATTAATATATATACAGAAACTAATATTTAGCTTTAGCATGTAGCTGCATCCAAGTGTCTTCACAGAGATGACACATGCTAAAACCCTGATGGCTGCTGGTTACATACATGACGTGTATTTATAGCCCTGTTTCCACCAGGCCTACTCTACCCTACCCTACCCTACTCTACCATACCACACCCTAACACACCACTACTCATGTTCCC